ATCACAAATAACAAAGTTGTTACCTACCTACCTACCCTCTCCAGAAATGCGTGTCTTTCATCAAGACTAATCAACAATAGAGACATTACTTTGGTGAAGGAAACAAAAACAGAGACTACAGAAACATCCTCTGCAGGGAGAGGGGGACAGCGCCAGCACAGGTGATCCTCGAGACAGGGGAACTGTTTAGGTAGGGAGGCCGGGACCCTATATGATTCCAAGCACCATTTTCAAACCACTCTCTCACTTGAGGGAGCAATTAGCTGCGTTTTTTTAAATAACTTGCAAGAGTGAGCACAAATTTACTCCTTCGGGTTTACATGGTTATACAGTCACCCATCTGCTAAAGCACAAAAATGCAAATCAAAATATAAGCATTCTGTTATTTAATTCATTAGAAGTCTTCAATTACTAGGAGTCCATCTTTAAAATCCCTGCCACAAAGGAATATATATGGCTTCTTGTGTGGAATACATATCTTTGAACATGCACATACAGTGCATAAAACTGTCCTTTCAGCTGTGAGCATCAGAAATGTAAATGCTGACAAACTGACCGGGATCATGGTCGTTAAGTGCTCCATTTATGCTAGCTAGGAAAGTCCAATGCTAGCTTGCACTTCAGTGTGCATGGTTTTACAAAATGCCCACCTCTGAAGCTGAAATGTTCTTGTTCAACCCCCAGCAGTGAACATTTTCATTTAGGTTTGAGAAAACCTCACCTGCCACTTAGCTATGACAAAGTGAAATGAAGTATGCTTCCAGTCTGCTTTATACACGCAATTACAGACCGCTGACAGCCCAAAGGGGTGGCCCTCAGACAGACTTGGCTCTGCTGTGGTGAACGGACCCGTAAGGATTTACACCAGTTGATGGCTGTATCAGCTCCTTTGTGTGAAATTACCCTCCATCTATTTGGAGGGTATATGGCGTTCTTAGTCACCACTATCAGCAAGCGGGAAGGGGTGCGGCCTCCTTTAAGCAGCCCCTGCATGGTTACGTTAGAGCTGCAGTTATTAGTCACTGCCAGATTTAAGGAATACTATTAAAAGACATTAAAAAACACCTAGAAAAACTCCCATAAACTGGAGAATCTCAATCTCACCCACCTGCCCCAACAGTACATCCAACAAAGACTGAATCTTCACCTACTTGTAAACAGGTCATGTGGCAGAAAGGTGTCCCCAAAAGTCAGCTGGTTGTTGGGATTTCTTCTTCTTAATGTTACAGTCCTGGGAGAAATGAGGGCAATTTTGAAAGCAACACCTTACATGTATCACAAATGTACATGTTACACCTTAAATGTATCACAAATAGTTCAAAAAGGGAAATAGAAACTTCAAGAGTGGCATATAAATATAGTGAAAAATGCTTTACAATACAATCTCATACTCATTATTCTAATGCAAACATGAAAAAAAGTGCAACCTGACAAAAGTAAAGCTCTGGGACATCTTCAATATGGGAAATATTTCCATGGAAAGAAACAAAAAAACCTTGTGGTCACAGAAGTTTTAGTCTAAGTTCTATGGAGAAAATCAGAAAATAAATCAAGAGATTAAAAACATCTTAGCATTTTAAATACTCCTTATTCTTAAGGCAATGTTTTGGGGGGTTTACCACTCACCACTCGCTTCTGGAGAGAGCAAGCTACCACCCCAGAGAGCACAGTGATCCTTCAATGATGAAGCAGTCACAAAGGCATTTCTCCCTTGAAGAAAAGTGATCTTCGAACCTTCCACTTACCCAGCGTGGTAGCTTTGCCCTGAGGACAAGATACACGCACCAAAACTCTGCTCCAGCTGAAAGCACAGACCTCCTTAAACATCAGCTGAAAGAAACATGCTCACTCTCCTATTACAGCTTTTAATGTCTTCAAGACATTATTATGTTATGTAACATGCTCATAATCTCTAGAATTCAAGTAACTCCTAACATAATTAAGGAATCAGTCCAGAAATAGCTTCAGATTGCAAGATTTGCCCGTCTTCTCTTGGATAATATAGGTTCAGTATTAAGAAGTTCATGAATAAATTTAACACCATCACTAAGAGCAAAACACTTAACAATTACATGGAGTTATTGGACATATACAAATAAACTATGGAAGAAATCCACCAGTAACTGTCTATCAATGAGAGCTATGCTCTGACACATTTATATATAGCAAAAAATAATGTTTTCAGATCGTAGTGCCCCCAGTGCTGATTAGGTTTAAAAGCAAAGTTCCCCAAACCTCTCAGCAGATACCTCGCTGGGCAGGTGCTGAACTGTTTTAGAACTTCTCCCAATAAATCCAGAAGTTTTAATTGTTTTGTACTTTTCCTCCAATTCCCCCCAATATCACATGCATTATGGGAAGCAGGTTCATTATCCAGTCCAGTGAGTTATCATTGCCGCAGACACGGCAGGTTTTCAGCCTTCACGTAATTGCTACTCCTCCTTTTCATGACAGAGATTAATTGCGGCTGGCAGCGTCGCCAGGCTGGGCATCTACATAATCAAGGCCTTTGTCACCTATTCTCAGTGCATAACCCAGACTGCCACCTCACAGGCTTCTCCATGAACATGAAGCAAATGAAATAGTGAAAATTAGGACAATTATGACAAAAACGGCACTGTCTTCGATTTCAAATACAATTACTTGAAGTTAATTTAACCTATTAACACATGTAATAAATTAGGTAAAGTTGTTTCATGAGTACTAAAGACTTTGTTTAAGCAGTTTTAAAGCAGTTTTTAAAGTTTCAATTATTTTTTTAACAAATCCAAGGCTCTCTTTCTTTTAAACCTATACTTCAAATAGATGCAAAACATGGTAACCAAATTGGTGGTGACACGAGTTAAGCAACCCCACTGTGAAATTTCACAATAGAGCACAGCAAAATATTTAAAAAATGTAAAGGCTGTGGCTATGGTAACCCAAAGTGAAATATGTTACTTGCACCGCTTTATAACCATAGCGAGATGGAATTTGCGCTTTACTGCTGTAACAGGCCATGATTGATGTAATCACACACGACCCATCACAACATGAAATCACAAAGTGTTTTTTACAATTGTTTTTGAAAAGCATTCATGAGGAAAAAATGCACAGATTTACACTCAACATCTCCCAGGCACCTTAAAAAAAAAAAAAAAAAAAAAGAAGAAGAAGAAAAAAAAACAGATTTCTGTTTAAAATTAACTGCTTGTTCAGTCTGCATTCCTCATTACTTTTCTCTCCCCTGTAGTTAATGCCGTAATATTTGCATAAGGCCTTAAAAGGCCTGCTACTAATGTCAACAGCAAAACTCCCATCAACACCAGCACTGTCTGCCTTCAAGTAAAGCACTTGCAACCAGCACTATAACAAACAGAACTGCTGGTTGGTGTCTCCCAAATTATTAGTCTGAGATGAGTACATCTAGCTACTAACTATTCCACATAAAATATATGGTCAACCACTGTCAGTTTACTAAAACTTTAGATTCACCCATCACACAGCCAATCCTCAAGGTCGGGTCTCTGCTTTCGTTTCTCACCTCCAAGTCAACTGCATGATACCACATCACAGTTGGACACTGCAGAAGATTAGGCAATTTGAACAAAGAATCATTATGATCAAAAGAAAAAAAAAAAAAGCAAAAGACCATGACAAACAGAAATAGAGCTTCTGGAACTGTAAATTGAGATATGCCAGACAATTAAAAGACACTTGAATTTCTTATCAATATCAAATTCTAGGAAATCTTAATAGCAAACCAACATTGACTGCTTTACTTGCACAAAACACCAGAACTCATACTTTCAGTGTCCAGTTCGGACAACCTTGTAGCTTTGACCATCACCACTTGCCCTCTATCCCCTGCACAGAGCAGTTCAACGCTGGTTTCATCGGGAGCCAAGTTTTACTAGGAAGATAATGGAGTTACAAAAAATTTCATGTGGTGATATCCAGTGCAGTCCTCCTAGGCATAAGAAAAAGCAGTTATTGTACAAATACTTGCTTTTACATTCACCTAATGCCTTGGGCAAAACCCATCATCAATATTTCTGTGAATAAGGAATGATTCTACATATACCTACCTATCTTAAACTCCGTATCTTACAATGCAACTTGATTTTCTTGGAAAGAAGGGAAGGGAATACAGTCTCCTGTGAAGTATGACAGTCAAGACACCTCAAAACATACACTGAGTTTTCTCAAATATCTGGAACTGAAGGGTAGAGAAGGCTGCTGCCGGCCCCTTGCCTGGGTCTGTGCAGCGGCCAGCACGGTGCCGTGATTAGCAGATTAGGTGTCCCCCATGGCACACGCAGGACGTATTTTGCTTTCCATGAAAAATAAAGTCCAGTTTGGGGTAAGAGAGGAAGACAGCAAGAATAATTAAGCTGTATCAATTTATTTCTAGACACTTATGGATTCTACTTAGATTACAACCTTTACACGGGTAAGACAATATTTACTGAGTATTTTCTCTATCACAGTTATATTTAAAAATCACTACAAATCTATTTTATTTCCAGAGTGTATTACTGTTAGCTAGGTAGACATAATTCCTGCTTGGCCTAGAAGATGTTAGATATTCACAAACATATCAGCCAACAAATTTACTAATCCTAAGATAAATCACATTCTTTTCCACTCTAAGTAATTTAAAAAGCATATTTTGAAATAGTACACAAGTTTAAAAAAAAAAAAAAAAAAAAAAAAAGGAGTTGCAAAACAAGAAAACAGTAAGGAAACTATAAGAGAACTTTAAGGAAGGTATCTGAAAATCCAGCATGCTATGCATACTTAACTTTTTATTAGCTACTGTCCACAATAATTTATCAATTGTAGAAGCATTCCTTCAGGCACAATGCTGTATTCTAGTACGGTATCTTGCACTGTGGTACCTCACGAGAAATAAAAGCATTAATAGATGTAGCTTATTAAAGGCCAGTCACATTTAAGCTCACTCCCCTTGCCCCAAGCTTTTACAATCTAGCAATGGAAATTCTTTTCATATTTTTCAGAAGTAACAGCAAATTCCAAGAAATGGAAGGTGCTGCTAGTAAAAGAAGAACAGCAGAGTATCACCAGGGTTAATAGCGCCTGTTTGAGATCCATGAATGATCACAGAGCTACTTCTCCGTATCGAACTTGCAAGCTTCCTCACTAATATGCTGCCTCCCTGGGCCGCAGGCTCAGTGCTGCTACGAAGGCTCTCTGTCCCGCACGCTGCCTAGGAGGGCCGCAGCAACGATGGCGTCCAAGGTCTCCTGCTTGTACGTTCTGACAGTCGTTTGCTGGGCAAGCGCTCTCTGGTACTTGAGCATAACTCGTCCTACTTCTTCCTACACTGGCCACAGACAGTTCAATAGCATATCGATAGCCAGAAAAAATGTCTCCTTTGGCAATATAAGAACTCGACCTATTAATCCACATTCATTTGACTTTCTTATCAATGAACCCAATAAATGTGAGAAGAGCGTCCCTTTCTTGGTCATTCTTATCAGCACAACTCACAAAGAATTTGATGCAAGGCAAGCAATTCGAGAAACGTGGGGAGATGAGAACAACTTCAAAGGAATTAAAATTGCCACTCTGTTTCTCCTCGGAAAAAACGCAGATCCTGTGCTAAATCAAATGGTAGAGCAAGAAAGCCAAATTTTTCATGATATTATCGTGGAGGATTTTATTGACTCTTACCATAATCTCACTCTGAAAACTTTAATGGGGATGAGATGGGTAGCAACATTTTGTTCAAAAGCAAAATATGTTATGAAGACAGACAGTGATATTTTTGTAAACATGGATAATCTTATTTACAAGCTGCTCAAACCCAATACCAAGCCAAGGAGAAGGTACTTCACTGGTTATGTTATAAATGGAGGACCAATAAGAGATGTTCGCAGTAAATGGTACATGCCCAGAGATTTGTATCCTGATAGCAACTACCCACCTTTCTGTTCAGGCACTGGCTACATTTTTTCAGCTGATGTAGCAGAATTAATTTATAAAACCTCCCTTCACACCAGACTTCTTCATCTTGAAGACGTGTACGTAGGACTCTGCCTCCGGAAGCTTGGCATTCACCCCTTCCAGAACAGTGGCTTCAATCACTGGAAAATGGCCTATAGCTTGTGTAGATACCGCAGAGTGATTACAGTGCACCAGATAACGCCAGAAGAAATGCACAGAATTTGGAATGACATGTCAAGCAAGAAACATCTTAGATGCTAAGATTTTTACAGCTGTAAATACCTTTTTTTGGTTTTGCTTTAATTTGGTTATTTTTTGACAGAAAGTCATCTGCTGATTTACAGGTTAAATTGTGAGCTACTACCTGTGAGAAGTTTTTGAGTGACTGATTTCTCATTCTTTTTTTGACTACCGGTTTACAGATTTCAGGCTTTTTTTCATAAGAACATTTACACTGGTCAAAAGGGTCTAAAGTCAAAGCTAAGACTTTGTACAATATCACACACATCAGCTCCTGCATCTGTATGTACAAGGATAGTAATAAACTGTCCTGAGCTGCTTAACATTTCTTCATGTTGTACTCTTTGAGATAAGACTTAGGCCCTAAGAAATGAAGAAATAAAACTATCCCTTTTTGACATCCTACATTCATACTCTTCTAGAGCTTTACTAATAATTTATGTGAAATAAATTTGCCCTGATCTCATACATCCATCCTGGCAAGGATATTTTAGAATACAACACGTTCAAAACAGCCTATTGATGGTTCAATAGTAGAATTTAGACAGGTAAGAACATCAAACCAGAGGTTTCATAAACAAGCCCACACTGAAGTATGTTTATGTGCCCAAACTGCCAATTCTTCTGAATTACTCTGGAAAATATTCCATTTCTGTCCATTGTTAGCCCAAAGTTGCCACTAAAACAGTCCATACAGTTCTAAAATGAATATAAACTGTGGGTAAAATACAAGTCTCATGAGATGTGTGAAACAAACTATCTTAAATATACACTATAAAAGCACTGCTATATTTTAACTTTTAATTTAAAATTGCAACATTTATTGTAAGTATTGGCATATATAGAGGACCCCACAGTACTTTGATAACGTTGTTATGTTATCATAATTATGTTTTGGACACTCCTTTTTAGGAAGTTAAAATTAATGGGCACACCCAGCAATATAAAATACTACCGAATAGTAAAAATATCGATTAATAAACAGCATATTCCTTCCATATCAGTCAGCACACTATTTACCTGAAAAATACAACACACAGCAGTTTTTCCTTGGGGTAAGCTCTACTTTTTGCCACAGTGCAATGTAAATAAGATTACTCCAGATTTTTAATGGCACAGAAGACCAGAATTTTGTTCAGTAATCAATTTTCCATTGACTGGGTAACATACAGACTCTCTTAACACTTCAGCATCACTTTCACAGCAAAGTAGAGCTTTTAAGAATAACTTCCAGCCTTTGTTACAAGTTTGCAGCTCCCAGGTTGCTTATCACGGAACAAAAAAGGTCACTGAGGTCCAACTCAAGAAAACATCAGAACTCAAGAGATCCCCAAAGTATCCCCAAAGTGATAAAAATCCAAGTACACAAGATTTTATGCAAGTTTCAAAATGTGCTTATGTGTCTTGAGTATGAATGAAGTGTGATGAAAACTTTTTCTGGAAAATTTTTTGGTAAGTGCAAAACACCTCTGTTCAGCATCATTTCCTAGCGAAGAACTGAAACGTGACAGTGTTCTGCAGATAATTTGGGATGAACAATTCACTGACAAACTACAGCGATACAAAATTCACCAAACACTTTAGTAGCTGCAGATCACTCACAACGTCCACAGCACACACAAAATTCTCCTTCACTTCAGCTGGAGTTTATGTGTAAAGTATGAAAAGCTGGTAAGACTGTACATCATTCAGGATGTCAAAAGAACTATCAGAATTTAAAAGAAAACTCTGAACTGATTTTACTTTTTCTATTTTTTTGATACCATACCATTGGTGTACATAGCACTTTACAACAGCAACAGATGAATCAAGATGTTACCCCAAAAGGTTTGCAGTTTCCTGGCAACTTGTTAGCCTTATTCACAAACGCAGCACCAGTGCTTTGAAAAGAACTACTTGTAAATAAGGTAAAGAGTATTTGGCATTTAAGCCACAAACAGTAGAAGTCTTAGACTTAAAGACCTATTTCAGATCTGAAGGTGAAGCTACACAGGAGCTTGCCCAAGAGTTACTGCTAATCAGCAGGAGTTTGTACAAATAATAAACAGATATTTTACACAGAAATTCTGCATTTCTTACAGTATAATGAAGATTTATCCTTACCCATTGACCTAGCTCTCATTAAAGTTGCTCTTGCTTCCTGTCAAACTCAGAACTCCAGCAAAACAAGGTCCAATTAATTGTACATATAAATTTGTGTGTGTGTGTGTGTGTGTGTGTGTATATATATATATATATATTTACACACACATATATAAGGTGAAATTCAGCTTTCCATACCCAAGCCAGTGTACACAGTTTATAAAGTGCAACTAGGGTGGAATTCTTCCCCAGCCCATACACAAGCCATGAAATACTGTTGCAGTCCTACCACGGACCTGTCTGTAGTAACTTCAACCAAGAGGCTGCAAACACTTCTGCTGTCCCTCCACACCACACAGCGCAGTAATTCAAGGTTTCTGAAACCCCACCTGGATGGATTTGGCGGCCTTACTTTCCTCACTAACACCGTGGCCTTTAGTTAGAAACTAAGAGGATAGTAAGGCTCCCAATCCCAGGCCCTCAGGGCTCACAGCAGCCTTGAATTTCCCCTTGGATGAGGAGATTGCATTAATGAATGGAAGGTACATCTTGAAAATAATATTTGAAAAAAATGTATTTTCTGGCAGTTATAAATAGGTAGACTGTCAACAGAGATGTAAATGTTCATCTTGGAACGTATGTATATATTTCCAAGGCATTTTCTTCTGTATTCAGCTGTATATATGTGTAGAGTCTGCTTGTCACGTAGTATTCTGTTATGCATGGAGCTGAGTTAGGCATTATATTTGTCCAGTGTTTCAAGAGCCTTAAGCATGTGTGCCCTAACTTTTGAATGTACAAGACTTTTTTTTTTTTTAAGTGAATTTAAAAAACAAAATCACAACAACAAAAGCCTAATTTTCTACTTCTGTTATTTTTCTGATGCTATTACTTAACTAGCTTATTACAACTATAGATGCATTATTTTCCCTTTGCTCAAAATTTGCAGTATTGCAATATGGAGCTAGAAAGGGAGCAATACATCTCACAGGGCCTGCTTACAGGCCCTTTCACTCAGAAGTGTGTGTGTCACATTGGGTACTGTTAAGTAATAACAGTGTTTGTATTGGGCTTCCTTTAATCAAAAGAAATACTTGTGTTATTTAAAGGTCATTTGGTTTCATTGTGCATGGGGCAAATGACTTGGTTAAGATGTGCTGGCTTTTCATCACTTCCAACAAAATGTGAATATAATTGAATCTCAAAGTGTACATGAACAAAGCACACCGAACTCTGAAGCTACGGGCGGGAAGCCCTCCCTTTTGGAGGATTTTTTTCACAACAGCATTTTTTGCTAAATCCTTGGGAATATTTAAACAGAAGACTCAAGAATCATTTTCCATCTTTCCTAATAATCAGGTTATTGATTTTGATTTTTATGGGGATTTTTTGTTTTTATAACATAGATGGCAATGGCGATTTGTAAATGAAGAGTGTAATTAACTAGAAAAAACTTGTTGACAGTAACCGAACTTTAGGTGTATCATTATATGACTGGCTGTACTTATGTATTTATTTGTCTAAACTGTATATATTGTTTTATCCATAGTGTCAGTAGAAGTGCATTCTTTTAAAGTATTATTTACAGTTTTGTGGGATTGCCAGCAAAGCTGTTAATCAAGATACTATTTTTTGTATCAATGTTAAATAATAAAAAAGAAAGAAACCAAATAAAAAACTGACGGTGTCATGTACAGTTTTATTCACCTCTCTAGAAGTGTAAATGCAAAGCATGATACCAATGAATAGGATCATTTGTCACAGGGAAGAGTATTGTCCTGTAAAAGCAGGTTTAAAAAAAATCATTGGCAAAATAAAGAAGAAAATATTGTATCTATTCATTATTTGTGTAATAATTTAATCAACCTGATGCTCACTTCATTTAGCTTCAAATACTTAAGCAGTGACAGCAATACCTAGCAAGTTAAGAGATGGGTTTATCACACTGTTTTGCTTTGGCAACCACGGCCAGTGTCACAAAAGTCAGGCAGTTCTAAGATGGAGACCATCCACCAGCCCATTAAAATGCTTGTTCCTCTACCTCCGCTTGCAGCCAGCCAAAAACTGCACAGGGAATGAAAAGGAAACACTGCAACACCCCAACACCACATCTCAGTGCAAATGTCACTCTGGGGCCTCCAGGAGACCGCCAGGGCACAACCTGGGACAAGGGCTCGGTCCTCTCGTTTTACCTGCACGTTCCTCTTGCAGGGGCGCCCACTGACACAGACAGCACCTTGTGCTCCCAAAAGCTCCGAACAAGCACTGGGAAATAACGGGGGTTGTGTTCTGCCTTGAGGAAGCACAATCTCAATAATCCCAGATTATCTGATGACTTAACGTTGTATTTGGCTCCTAGTATGAATATATTAAGAGGATGCATTTTGTCAAGTACAGAGGCTTGGATGACCTTAGGGTCTTCAAATCAAAATAAAACTGAAAATAAGCAAATATCCAAGACAAAGTCCCTTTTATTCTAAGCAAATACCAAGAATAATTCCTCTCTCTTCACTCTGCTCCTTGCAATTTCCTGTTTAAAAATAAGTATCTACCCTTCCCCACTGACTACTGGCTTCAGAGTTCAGTAACCTGTACTCATTCTCCAAACCAAAGAGAGAATAAAACACCCAAGAGGCTAAAGGTAGTTTTTGCAAACCAAAGAGTAATTTTCTTCGTGTCACCAGTTTCAGAGGCAGCTGAAGGTTACTGCCAAGTCCTCAGGCACTCTGGAAGTGTCTGCAGCAACACCACCATCTAACACGTTATAAGGAGTTTGTTTAAAGCAACTAAGAGTTCCCTCTGCTGTAAAAGCCTCCCACCCCTTTTAGACTTGTTTTCACCACAGCAGCCTGGGTCTAATTGTAACACTTACATGGTGTTTAATTAATACACAGCTTGGAGATATATGGATATTAGCACTAGTAGAGTTGATTTCATGTAGCTTGATTATCTTCATTACAAGCTTTCTATTTTCTCATTTGCTTAATTGATTGTCATAGATTTCCAAGAAAATTTGGACTGCCCTAAGTGAAAACAATATATGGGAAAAAAAATCCTAACTGCTGAAGCTGGCCTCTTGCAAAGCCCTGTGCCAGGAAAGTGCCATATGTCATAAAACATTGTACTCAGCAATATCTGCTTACCTTTCCCTTGTTAAAAATAAGAATTTATGAAACTGAAGAAGAGTCATCTGGAAAAAAAAAAGTCAATGCCTTATTGATTCACCTGCGCCCGCTGCAGTTATCCCAAGTGCCTCCTCTGAGGACACGCTAACGCAGGACAAAAGGTCCATTTTGCTGCTAGGTCTATTTGTTAGTGCTCCTACATTATATCTCTGTCTTACCTGAAAAAGCTAAGGGCAAGAGGTAATTTATTCTTAACACAAGATTTATCCTTGAGCATTTATTCTGCAAAGGCAGCGTTACACATCAAGTTGTGCTGAACTATGTCTAATGGTTTTAAGATGCAGGCAATTTTTATTTGAGGAAAGCTGCTATCACAAACCTGAGCTGTGCTAACCAACACCAACCATTTCTGCAGCTAAGGTGAAACTACTGAGAACAGTTCCAGTCCCAAGGCCCCTTTTTCCTTGGGGAGTTTCCCATGTTCTGGCACGACCTCTTTTCTCTATGACTGCTGCTGACAGCAAACCTCTCCCTTCCAGTCAAGCCCATCAACACAGAGATAGAAGCTAAGGGGAAGCAAAAAGCTCCCCACAGTATCACCAAGAAGTTGCCAGCATTCCCAGAGTACAAAATAAATCAGCATGACATCCATCCTCTTGGTAATAAGGACTGAGGCGATTCCAGTGAAGATGCCACAGCCAGACCCTAAACTTTTCCACCTGGATGCACTAACCATTAGGCTCCAAGTGTACCATTGCGTAGCCTAAGAGATTTATAGGAATATCGCGAACATTCCTACCCTTCGCAGGGCAATCAAAGGGTAGAAAGAGCAGAAGAGAATAAAACATTTCAAAATCTTTGATTATTCATTCAACTTCAAAAATCCTCCTCAGAAAGATATTTCATCAGTTACCAATCATCTATCAAATTTTATTCTCGTATGTATATTCAGATATAAGGAAGTTAAACACTGCCCCCCATTACTTGCTATCCTACAGATTACTTTTGGATTAAGCTGTGTAAAGCAGATTCAGATTTGATTTAAATCACAGTTCTATTCTCACCAGTTTCAGTGGGATTTATTTCTGATTATAATGGGCTGAATTTGATTCTGGGTCTAACTTAGCCCTTTCTCCCACTCACAGTGAACGGGGGGTATCATGAAGGTTTCTGAGTAAGAACACTGTGTATTTCAGGAGGTACTGCACTGCAAGAAACTTCAACTCTCACCAAAAGCAGGCAGGAGGATAAAGCAAGCAGCACTCTCTGACTTCCAGTTAAACCTATCCCTAATGAAGATGAAGCACAACACGAGACATACAGGTTTGTAATCAGTGCAATGAAAGGCAGTGTACACCACTTTCTTGACAGAAGAGGGTTCTCTGGTGAGTTATCCATTATCACCTGGCTCACTGCTGGTTCGGGAATGTGCTACGTTCTGCTCACAAACCCTCTCTTGGGCAGCGTTAACACATACATGCAGGATCCCCACATTGATGCAGGATCCCCACAGGACCATATCTATTTCTTGAAACTACTCATTTTTCATTTCTTACTCACTTTTACTTCTGCAGTCACTGTAGTGGAGAAAAAAAAATGGTGGTATGAAGACGTCTTTCCTAAACTTTACTTATGGAAAAACCCCAAGAATCTCTTTAGTTTAGCATCATTTTCTTCTCCCCCCCCCTTTTTTTTTTTTCTTTTTTCTCCTATTCATAAAAGGAAAGAATAGGAAAAGCACAGATGGTCTTTTAAACTCAGCTTCAGGCCTTGGCTGTTGTCCCTGCAGTTTTCTCCTCTTCATCAAATGAGCCATTACACTCACAGCTCTCTGTGCAAATACTCTGGCTCTAACTT